AAAAAAAAAAGTGACGTGAGTTTAACTTTTTCTCTCTCTTTCTCTTTTCTTTCATTATAAAAATGAGTGACGACGATGACTTTATGCTTGAAGACGAAGAAGTAAAATATGAATATGTACGCGTTTGATGTGTTAAATGACCTTTTGTTAGGATTATGATTTTGAATATGAAGACGATGAAGACCAAGATGAACCCGATGTCGATTTAGAAAACAAATATTATAATGCAAAAGGTAATATACTATATAAAACAAGACATATATAAGACTTATATCATTATCTAGCTAAAAAGGAAGATGATCCTCAAGAAGCTCTTGCAGAATTTCAAAGCGTAGTAGATACAGAAGAAGAAAAAGGCGACTGGTAAAAGCATAAAATAGTAAAATAATGCGCATAAAAAATTCATTCATAGTTACATTTAGGGGCTTTAAGGCTTTAAAGCAAATGATCAAGATATCATTTCAACTTGACAAGTTGGATGATGTACGTGTCATTATATATACACGCTATATAACACATTAACTCCTCTCTATACAGACATTAAAATATTATTGTCAGTTGTTAACTTATGTCAAATCAGCCGTGTCAAGAAATTACAGCGAAAAGAGCATCAACAACATATTAGATTATGTATCCTCTACAGAAAATACATCATTTATGGAGAGATTATATGAGACGACCCTAGATTCAATGATCGAAACAAAAAATGAAAGATTATGGGTCAAAATCAACCTAAAACTAGCAAAACTATGGTTGGATAGAAAGGAATATGGCAGATTGAGCAAAATATTGAATCAGTTGCATGTTGCATGTCAAAAGGATGATGGAACAGATGATCAAAGAAAAGGAACGCATCTATTAGAAATACTCGCGCTGGAAATCCAAATGTGTACAGAAACCAAGAATAACAAAAAGCTAAAAGAACTGTATCAGCAATGTTTATCTGTTAAATCTGCTATACCACATCCTCGTATCATGGGTGTCATTAGAGAGTGTGGTGGTAAAATGCATATGAGTGAAAGTAAGCTTATATAATTTGTAATGTGTGTGTATATCTAAGATTACCTGTAGAACAATGGGATGCTGCTCAGATGGACTTTTTTGAATCATTTAAAAATTATGATGAAGCTGGTAGTCCACAGCGTATACAAGTGTTGAAATACCTTGTATTAGCCAACATGTTGACAGAATCTCAGATCAATCCATTTGATTCTCAAGAAACCAAACCGTATGGATTTCTAAAAGTATATTCATATAATCTAACATGATAGACTAGGTATAAAAATGATAAAGAGATAGAAGCAATGACAAACCTGGTCGGTGCTTTTCAAAGAAAAGATATTGTTGAATTTGAACAAATATTAAAAGGTAAAAAAAAGTATTATAAAAAGATACATTATGAACCATCCTTCTTTTAGCAAACCATAATGCAATCATGGGTGATCCTTTTATTCGTGCCTATATTGATGACGTCCTGAGAAATATTCGAACACAAGTAGTCATTAAATTGATCAAGCCTTATACACGCATTGATATAAACTTCATATCAAAGGTAACTCACAATATTAAACATTCATATGGAATGCTCACCCATGTTTTTTTTTTTCTGAAAAGCAATTGAATATACCAGAAGATGAAGTTGAAGAATTACTCGTAGGGCTTATTCTAGACGACAGAATATCAGGGAAAATTGATCAAGTGAATCGTCGGCTTGAGCTCGAAAGGAGAACTACGGATGCACATAAATATGAAGCATTGGCTGCCTGGTCAGAGAATGTATCTAGTCTATGCAAAACAGTGTTGTCGAAAGCTACATAATAATAAAAACAGAGAGTTTATTGATAACCAAAATCATTTTCCTTATTGAATCCAATCGCATTCAATGCTGCCAATAACTCTAGACGTGCTGTGTTTATGTCGTCATAGTTTAGAGCACTGATAGCCCACTTGGCATGCTTTTGAGCGGATGGAATATCCATATTTGAAACCTGAGGTACTGTCATAGTAGGTACAGGTGATTGTACGGGTAAGGAAGAGGGAATAGGGGCAGGCGCGGGTGCAGCAGCTGGCACAGGGGGTGGAGCGGTGACGGCAGGTACAACAGGTGCAGCAGGTGTAGCGGGCACATTAGGTAGCTGACTGTTTGCGGATGGCAGAGGTGCAGTGAAATTTGATGGAGGGCTTGGAAATTCTGAGATAGAAGGAACTTGCTCTTGTTGTTCTGACTCATCTATTGGTGGACCAGCTGTGGGTTGACGTCCTTCACGTAGAGCTTTCATAATATCGGTTGCCTTCCATTTTGCATATTTGATTTTTGCTTCAACCTATACGGATATGATGGTTATGTATATACATGATACGCTTTCTTCTTACTTCAGAATCAATATCCCCAAATGTCTTTAAAAGCTCTAAAAAGACAGATGCAGCCAAGAAAGTCTTTGCTGTCTTTCTGTTGACCATGAGAATCAATGAGCATCTATCCCTATTTCTATCCACAACTTACTTGCTTGCCTTTCCAGCTCTGTCTTCGTTATCTGCATTTAAAAATATCTTTAAAGCAAAGTTTTCAATATGAGCATAACCAACCAGGTCGTTTGTAACAGCTTCATTGTCACCTAAGCTTTTCTTTTGCTACAGACAATACGGTTAATAGAGTATTTCTTTGATATTAATATTTACAGTCTCTAGAGAGTCAAGCAAGTGAGACAAGTACTCATTTGTTTCTTTTGTACGAGGGCCTCTGCTAATGGCGAGTTTTGCAGCATAATACTGAGCTAAACTACATGTTAAATGAATAACTCTACATTATATTTACATTACCATAGTATGCCACAACAGGTTCCCTTGATAGTAATTCTTGACTACGTTGAATATAAGGTGTGATGTATTTTAATTCAGGAGGTACTTCCATGTTTATAGTATTTACACAAAAGAGACAATATCATCAGCCTTTTGTTCTCGCTTGATTTCATAAAGACGCCAATTAAACTCAGATTACTTTCTTTTTTTTTTTTCTTGTTAAAAAAAGGGGGACTCATGTCGAAAAGTATCTTGAAGGCTAGCAAGCCAACAAATAATCAAAATGGTTCATGGTTTTCCAAATTAAACAATGACACAAGTCTATTCAACTTTAGAAATAAAGACCAGGAGAATAGTAACGACATAATCAATGAACTTTCACCCAAGGAACTTCGTCGAGTACGATTTCCAGTAAAGACAGATCTGGTGACAGAATATATTTTAATAAAGGAACAAGATACACTAGAAAAGGTGGTAATTGAACCAGTCAATGTTCAAACATCCCTTCAGTTACTGTCACTTTATGAGCTTATTTGTAAGAATAAGCAAGAACCGACTATTGACTCTTTTGTATCTACCTTGATTGTAAGAGATTGTTTGTATCCATAAAGAAACCAGAAATACAAGGGAAAAGCTAACACACAAATAGATGCAACCACAAGCTACTTCCTTGTCACGACTTGACTTGACTAATCAACATATCACCAAACAATCCATATCACCTTTAGCAGATATCATGTCTATTGACTTTGGTATCAGAGAATTAATTCTTTGCAACTCTGGGTTAGAAGACGATGTAAGAGTCTATACGATAGATTATTATAAATAGTAAATGTTGACTCTTTGCATATGCTATAAACATAGGCTGTCAAGATATTAATGCACAGCTTATTAGAAAATGATAAAATCACCTACCTTAATCTATCCAATAACCCAAAACTGACAGCGATTGGTTATAAATACATCTCTGTTTATGCCAAAGAGGTACATGAGTATATGCTTTAGTGATGTATTGCTTAAACATACCATATATTTATAGTCTCGACAATTATCAACACTGGATCTCTCTTTGAATACATTGGACAAAAAGGCAACTCAGTATCTATTTGCTGCCATTACCACAAGCTCAATGTCTCGATTCATTTTGAATGGATGCACGATACGAACAACTGCACAATTACAGATACTTGCTTCAGGAGTTAAAAGATCGCGTCTACAACACTTGACATTACATCAAAATAGAATGAACCATCAAGGCGCACTGTCAATAGGCGTGATGCTCAGAGACTATGACAACACGGGTGGATCATTAGAACACTTGGAATTGGATGGCAACGAGATTGGCACAGGGATTCAATATATCGCACAGGCACTAAAAAGGAATCAAAACCTACGAACCTTGTCTCTACGACAATGTAAATTAGACGCAAAAGGCTGTAGCCTTATCGGTGAAGCTCTGGTAAGTTTACAACAATAATTAAAAATACCAAGCATTAACATCAAAAAGAAATACAATCAACATTTAGAGAAACTAGACTTGGGAAATAACCCTTCTATTTGCACACAAAGCTTGGATGGTGTAAGTTTTGTTGTCTTTATGATTTTATCAAACCTAACTCTTTCCTTTAGATTGCTTCTATCAAACAGGCGCTTTTAGTCAACCGTTCATTAAAGGACCTATGCCTTTCTGATACAGGATTGACAACAGAAGCTGTTATTGCAATCGCAGAAAGCTTGGCCGAAAACAAATCACTGTCGCGATTAGATCTATCCAAAAATCCACTTATTGATATTGCAGGGATGATGGCCATCGCTGTCTCCATCCGTCTCAATCACAATATTACCTTTATTGACATAAATATATCGGTAAAACACGCATAAAACCCGTATTGAATTTGTGACTGACAAAAAAAGATATAGACAAACGATGAAGAGATGATACAGATACACCACGACATGTTAGCTATTTGCACCAGAAACGCTCAGCAGACCAAAAAAGCAACAGTGACAACAGAAAATGAACTAAAAAATAATCTAGTCTCAGCAGCACAAGCAACTGCTCGATTGACCCTTCAAGAACGTCTAGAGGCCGTTACGAAGGGGAAAGTAGATGATGATTCTAATTTAATACAGGAAGCATTGGAGATACTTGAAAAGATGACAAAATCTGATGTTGATGAGGATATGTTAACCAAATGCAAAGAGCTTCAAGTGGCAGTGTGCCAAAGAATACCAAATGTATCAGAACCTTCTCAATTAGGTACGCGTTTTTTTTTTTTCTTGATTTCTTTAGTCTAACATTACTTTTTTGTGTAGAACTACTATTAGGCATCAATGATAAATTGACTACTTCCATCGAGAATCATTATCAAGACATACCATCGACGCCAATACCCGAAACGAACTTGAAAAAGTTACATGAAATTGAAGCAGAGGAAGGTGCTGCCTTTTTGAATGCAAAAAGACAAGAAACGCCTAATGCAGAAGAACCAAGTGAAAAACAATAAATATATGTATACATTTGACAACTTCGTCCCCCAAAATTGTAAACATTACACCAGTGTGAATTTATTAATATAAAAGATGTGTATTTTTGTACAGTTGCGAGCCATTGTGTGTGTTTGTCTCAGGAGCTCTTTTTCTTTAAATCTCTACTTGCTTTTATCAGTGGAATCAAGGTTCGAACATGATCCCCACGCTGAAGAAATGGATGACTCAGCAGGGCATTTGCATCAGGTCTACCCTTGCTGTCGACAGTCAAGGACTGTTTCAAAAAGTCTTTAAGCGCATCTGATAGTTCATCTGGATGCTGTAGCGAAGGTGTACCGTTCGTGGCAATCAGATATAATGCTCTTAATGGATTCTCGTGTAAATAAGGAGGTTCCCCTTCAATCATCTCGATCGTCATTATGCCCAATGACCAGATATCAATCTTTGGTCCGTACTCTTTACGGGTCACTACTTCTGGCGCCATCCAATATGGTGTGCCTACCATCGTTGTTCTCGTTTCAGAATCATTAAGTCTTGCACAGAAACCAAAGTCAGCTATATGCAATCATACTGTTATTTTCTTTCTACCACACACACTCAAAGGCTACTCATCACTTACTGAGCTTTACTTGGCCGTTCAAACCCAAGAGGACATTATCAGATTTGATATCACGATGAATGATACCTAATTGATGCAGATGATGTATACCCTCCAATGTCTCTCGACATACAGTTGCTATCTGACTCTCTGTCATCATACTCGTTGTCACAATATCCGTTAGCGAGCCTCCTTCCATATACTCCATGACGACCCATAATTCATTAGTGATCAAAAACGAGTCGATATAGTTGACAATGTTCTTGTGTTGGGCCTCTCTCATAACGAGTATTTCATTAATAATGACCTCCTTTCTTAGTTGTTGTGCTAAGTTCATCTGCTTGATGGCAACAGACATGTTGGTATCGACTGATTGAGCTATATATACACCACCTGTAGCACCTTGTCCAATCTTTATCATATTCCTGTACAATTTCGTAGGATCGGCCTCGGTACAAACCGCTCTAAGATCAGCAATCACTTGAGCATCCTTTACTGCTTCCTTTTGTTGTCGTTGTTCTCTTCTCTGCTTTCTATATTGGTCAAAGTTATCCAGATCAGGGTCTAAAGGTGCTGGCATAGAGGCAATATAAACAGAGCCATGTTGTTGTTGCTCTTGATTTGGTTGTTCCTGATGTTCTTGTTGTTGTATTTGTGGTGTGATGAGGTTTTTCGGTTTCGATGATGCTGGAGGTTTAGGTGGTGGTTGCTTTTTCAATTCCGGTCGAGCTGGTATAGGAGGGGGTGTACGCTGTGAGAGTGGCCGAGAAGGCACGATGGGTTTTGGTTCACCAGTGGGCCGTACGCGCTGCGGTAACGGCGGAGGTATGTTATAGTGACGTGGATGAACATTATCGAATTTTTCCCAAACAGAGTCCTTGTTGGATTCTTTAAAGAAATCTAGTGCATCCAGTACGGCCTACGTTTGCAAAGTCAGTTTTTTTCTTTTTATTTTATAGCCAACTTACCTGAGGATTCTGCTGTTGTTCCTTTTTCGTGATACCACTCTGTTGCAATAGAATTTGCCATTCTCTTGGCATTCCTGTAAATTCTCCAGTTTGAGGGTTATATCCTACATGCGTCACATGAACCATGTTGTATGGAGAAGATATTTTTGTATGAAAAGAACTGGAACTTGCCATAGATACTGACGTACTACTGGTATTATTGCTTTGTACAGGCCATAGTTCTATCAAGACTATATTAGATACATACATTCTATTATGTAGTGTATTTTTTACCGCTAACGCTTTCGACTACTTTTCCAAACATGTTCTTTAATGTGGATGATCCACTCTTTTGTACTGGAATAAAATGAGGCGTGGACAGCTTTTTGGTATTCTGTTGTTGGTGTTTTTGAAGTTTAGTTACGGATGGCCTTGGCGGAGGAGGTGGTGGAGGTGGAGGTGGTGGAGGTATAAGCTGATTATTATTTATATTATTATTAGTACTAATATCATTTTCTAACAACACTTTTATATTTGCAGGTTTGGGTGGTAATGAAGGCAGTTGTGGTTTTTTAGTGATTGGAGGTGGTTCACTTTCTGATTTACTATTGAATAGTTTAATATTTGCAGAAACAATGCCGGTCGCTGGAGAAGAAGAAGGGGAAGTCATCTTTATTTTTCTCCAATGTCATTACAATAGTGTCTTTCTTTCTTTGTTTCTTTTTTTTTCTCTTTTCGTCCCCTTTCTTTTGAGTAAAAAGAAAAAGAAAAAGAAAAAAAGAGACAAAAATGAATCAAACAATTGAACAAAACCGAAAAAGGCAAGGCACGTGACGTAAATGCCAAATCTTTGGTATTTTTTATTGACTAAATGCATGCATTGATAAGCATTAAGTAGCAAAAAAAGAAAAAAGAAAAAAAAACTCATGATCTCAAGTTCAACGCTATTATTATGCTCAAATAGTCTTTCTACATCGTACAGAGACTCATAAATATAGAACAAATGGCTCTTGGCGATAGCAAAGCCCACGATAGATCTGAAAATGCATGTAAGCCACTTTTACTGTCACAACAGTTTGTGTGAATCTACAGCAGAAAAAGTTTTAATTATGATGTGCTAATGTTATGTTTTATGATGAGGCTTTTGTGTTTAAATACAATGCGCATAAATATTGAAAATGAACAAGAAAATAGGGGGAAAGGTCTTAGGAGCGCACATTTGTGCTTGAACCCAAGACGCGTTTCTTATTTACATGGAGACTGATGGTGGTATCAATGGATTTGCATTTGTCCAATCGAATGAGAGGTTTAACATTTTCTTCTTGAGATGATAGGGTTGAGACAGAGCCTGACAAGGAAGGAAGAGAAGAAGGATAATCATCTTGATTTTCTTGACTGTCACTTTGACTAGTGAAAGAAAAGGCGCGTTTGAGAGATGGCTTGCTATCCGTAGTTGATTCAACGTCTTTTATGACATCTTTCTTTACGGCTATAGCTTTCTTCAAGGGCTTATCTTTGGTAAGTGCTTTAAATTTGTTTGATAGAGAGGGCTTTGTAGCAGGCTTATCTGATTTTACTGTGGAAGGAGCAGTAGCATTTGAAGGACCAGAACCAGATGGAGAAGAGTTGCCATTTACCTTACGCTTATCATCATATTTAAGCCATGGCTACAAGAAAAAATAATAATAAACAAAATGTCAACTGGTGCAGTCTATGTAATATGATTGGCTTACAGGAATATTCTCCTTATTAGATTCCTTATCATAAAATAAGTTCGCAAGCTCACTGTTCGTTGCATCCTTAGGCTTGGTTTGCTCAGGATGGGTACCAAGTAGAAGAAGATGATCTTGATTGGCATTTTCAGGCAGCTCATTTAAACGTACAAAGTCTCGCATATTCATATCATAGACGTATTGATACAGAAAAGCATACTCTGCACGTTCAAAGTCTTGCTGGTATTGTTCAACAGAAGATTTGTATCTAAGAGCCCTCATTACCTGTTAGATAGAATAGTGTGAATAAAAAGCAATGAAAAGCAGAGAGAGAAGATTTCCCCTTTTTATGAACGCCGTATGTGTAAAATACTAACGTCAAGAAAACAATAATATTTACCTTTTCAATAGTGGTATGGGTCCTAAGGAGTGCTTCTGCAGTTTTTAAGCCGATCCCTTTGAGAGAAGGTATATAATCACAGCCTGAGAGCATACAGATATGCCGCAGTGTAGTCGTTGTGAAAGGCTTAATATTGATCACTTGTGATATATCATTAAAACAAATTCGCTCACAGTCTCCATATCTATTTAGTTTAAATATGACGGTTGAGCAACCAAAGGCAAGCAGATCTGAGTCTTCTGTGACTACGGCTTGTACGTAGTTCTTCTTCATTAGATATGCGAGTTGAGCATCAGCTTCATAAGGAGCTACAATATGCTGTACACCAACTTCATCCAATTTCTATAGCACAAAGGTAAGTATACATATATTGTATTTTCGTAGCAGCGTGTTTACTTTAATCACTTGTTGAATCATGTCTTGTGTGATACTTGTTGATTGTTGAAAATAAGGCAAAGCTTCTTTCATTTTATTATCGCTTATCAATTTTAAACCTGTTTTATATGCTTCTTTGCGTTTCCTGCAGAAAATGAGTACATATGAACTGCCCTTTTTGATTCTGTTTGCTTACTGTGCACGCTTATTGTTCGTCTCTTGCTTCATGGGTAAAGGTTGCCCATCAAAGACGATGAGTGGTATGACTTTATAGAATCGTAGCATATTGATAAGATTCATAAAATGTGAAATATATCTGTATATATGTATATATTTAGTATGAGTGTGGCATATGATATCCATTCCAAGCTCTTACTTTGTTGTCGGTTTATTTAAAGCTAATTCTAATGCGCAGGAAAAGGATCCTTTATGAAGCCAACAGTGTCCGTCAATGGCCACTACTTTACCGGTATATTCTTGAATATGTATCGGTTTTGTTATAGGCCCTAATAGCGGCAATAGTCCAGAAATGCCCATAACAATAGAATAGGTTAGGAACGTATTAAATTCACTTTATTTTTTCTCTCTTCTAGTTTCATTTATGAAGGCAAGTCACAAGTGTCTCAAAAAATTATTCGTGGTTGCCATGCCAACTAAAAAAATCCTGCAGTGAATGCTCATATTTGACATGCAGCACGTAGGGTAATTCCTCAAAGCTGTCTTTTTTATTGTCACTGCGTAGCATAATTAAACATTAATGCAACAAAAAAATATACCCTTTAAATTGGCAAGAGCCTCGATAAATGACTTTATTAGACTGTAGTTGACAAAATGTCCAGTTAAGATACAATTTAGCAGCAATCTGTTTTTACCAAAGAAAATTCACTAAAAGCAAACGTGTAACATATTTTTATAACAAGACGCTGTTTCTATTGGAAAATGCTCTGATGATGGACGCGGAAACTCGACTATGCACAGACTCTGTCTTTACCAATTATGGGAATCATGATCTTCATTCTATAACGATTATCAAAGAAAAGAAAAATGGGCAGGGGCTAGGCGGCACAGACAAAAGGTGATACAACATGTCACTGTTTTAGTTTTATCGCAAGTATTCTGGATATTCCAAATAAGCACATACTATTCAAAGGTCACTATACCATTATGGAGAATGCTCCAATTCATATATCAGAGAATATAGAAAAGCTTGATGTAAGTCGCAGCTTTCGGGCGCGTTTCTCTTTCCTCCTTATTTGCCTGAGATTAACTCCATTGAACCATTTTGGTTTCGTCGTGAAGCTCAAATTGAAACGAAATGCTTATTACTAGAATATCTGAAGTTTGCATTAAGGCTTTTCTTCGTGATTTACAAGATTCTTGTCGATACTTGGCTGCTCATTATAGTAACTCGGCATACATTATGCCGAATTTATCCTGCCAATTATAGGCTTCTGTGCAAATGGAAGCCATGTGATTGGGCCAATCCCCGGAAATAAAAACAACTCTGGTTTTACACAACTCTGCTGCTGAATAATCTACTTTGAATTTATAATCAAAATAATATTATATATATATAAAGCGATTTAACCCACATCAGTAAAAATCAACAACACTCAATTTATCAATATGGCTCCTACTATCCTCGTCGTTGGCGCAACCGGTAGCACTGGCAAAAGCGTCATGCGTAACCTTCCTACGTTGCTAGAATCCAAGAATAGCAAGTATCGAATCCTCGGCTTAACCCGCTCCTTGAATAGCCCTACTTCTCAGACACTCGCCAAGTTACCATTTGTGGAGATGCAAGAGAAAGACTGGACTACAATCGACGCTGATTGGCTCAAGGAACAAGAAGTGGTTAGAGTTTACATTGCACCACACAACTTGCCGCATCAGTTTTTGGATGAATCTGCATTCTACAATGCCTTGCTACAAGCCGGAGTCAAGTACGTAGTGAAAGTTTCGACAGTTGCGAAGTATGTAGGCCCTACCAGCCCTGTATTCTACGGTCGCTCGCACTGGGCCAGTGAAAACCTGTTAAGTCAGCCAGAGTTCAAGAACTTACAATGGACTTCTCTCCAACCAAACCTTTTTACCAACACCTGTATCACTTCTGCCGTAGATTGGATTAAGCAATACCAAAAGACCGGAAACCAAGAGACCTTAAACATCATGCTGGCTGCTGATACTCCTGTGGCACTCATCGATCCAGAAGATGTCGGCAAGGTCGGAGCTCATCTTCTAGCTCTCGATGACCCTACTCCACACAATCAAGCCAAATATGTTCTTAACGGACCGGAGGATATTACCGGAAAGCAGATAGTGGAAGCAGTTGAACAGTACACTGGCGTCAAAGCACAAGACGTGAAGTACAAGTCCATAGGCTTTTTAAATGATCTGTTTACGGCGGACGTTTACCCAAAGACCTTTTTGTCGTCGTTTTTGGCTGGCTGTGGATATTTATGGCGGGGTGAATGCTCAACCTCTGGCAGCACAACCAGCAAAGAAATCATCGAACTCGCTCCTCCAACACTTATACTTGCTGATACTTTGAAGGCAATGATGGAAGAGTAATAAAATGAATAGATTATTAAATAAATTATCACTTTATATTGACTATCTCCGATGTATCATTTGTATACCTAAATTTTCTGTATTATACAATTAAATTTTATAACTGAAGATATTAGAGACTTAAACGAAGACGTACTCGTGCTATTCGTTGCGAGCGTCTTGAGTTAGCTAACTGGTCTGTAGTATTCATGCTACTACCCAGTGTTTGAATCTAATATCTAGAGTTGAACCCAATGTTACTATAAGATCCGTTACATCTTAATGGAGTATGGTCAACTCAGTTTGAATACCTCATCTACTTTGTCTAATTCTATTACAAAACCAAATACAACAATGACACGTTTTAATCATCAACAGATTAAGCGAACTGTCAAGCTGCAGGCATAAAAAACACATTAAAGTTCAGCGACTTTAAGATCTCTGGTGAGCTAGCTTTGGTTGATCTCCTTGTCCGTCTTTCGTTCCCTCGAAGACTTGACGATATGGTTGACATCAAAAAAAACATCGAGAAATTTTCTGAGGCGCTCGTTAAGAAAGAAGCCACGTTGGATCATGTTGTGGGCTTCATTGATAGAACAATGCAATAAACATGTCGTCCAGAAGATGCTGAAGTTCAGAACGTTGTTTACAATAGATGGAAACACATCCATTGCTTAAAGTTTCGGGCCATCGGTGCTCCAAATGGAATCATCAGTAGCTTGTGTGGGAAATGTTTCTCCAGATAAGGTATACGTTATCTATGGCAATGACGCATATTCTCTTAGCAGACACATAATATCTCCTTTCGATAAGGATGTCGTATTTACCCTATAAATATTTAATCTTGTCGTATGAGGTTACTATAAATCTATACTCTAAGAATGAATAATATAAAGATACTGACAACAATACACGTTATTAACATATAATGTGACATGCCCAACTATTATCGGCCATAATTAGATCGGTTCCTTAATGATTCTGTGTTCATATAAACGACACTGTTCGTAATAATGAGCTCTCTCTCATCTCAACATACAATAAAGAGGTTATATAGAGACTCATCGACACACATTTCCTTTATTACTTCTTTATATATTCGAGACATATCACAAAGGACATCATGACGACATTGAAGAAAGATGCAACAAGTCCATGTCTAAACTTCGCGCTCCATATCAGCGTCGAAGCGGTTTCTTCCTGACGACTTGCTAATCTCTCTCTCGGTGAAGTTTCCCTTGTATTGTTCCATCAAGCCATGGAGCTTGGTAACAATTGTTTGGCAAACGGGAAACTTATCGTTTATAGCCATCCACTGTTTGGTGACTTCACCATGACCAACACCAAGAGGTCTAAAGTCTCTGTAAGCAATACAAGCGTCTATCTTGGTCTTAGTGTTCCAGAAAGTTGCTCGTTTAGCTCTTTTTTATCGTTTTTTCTGGACATCTTCTCTACTTCTCTTCCTTCTTCCATCTGTTTTCTTCTGTTTTGGTCCAAAAGACTTGATTTCCAGGCTGGTGGCGTTACTGCGAGCATTATTGGTCATTTTGAAAGTTATTGAAAAGGCCATTATTTGAGGGAAAAAAAGAGCAAATGTCATTGACGTACAGTTAATTAAGAAAAATCAAATTTCTCAGTCAACAAAATTTTTAATATGATTGTTTTTGTTTTTTCATTTTCATTAATATAAAGAATAAAAAGATAAAGTTATCAGACTTGTAGCGCCTTCCCTGCCATGTCCTTGGAATAAAAGACAGGCGAGATCATCAACTGCTGCGAACCACTCAGAGAGATAGTTCGTAACACACTTCACTCAAAAGAAGGGCTACTAACAATCATCGACTAACTTTGGAATTGTATCTCGTTTGGAAAACGTAGAATAGAGATGTACTGCATACAGATCCTGTAGAGTACGGTCACTAAAGAAAAAATCATCTTGCTTACTTTTTCGCTGTATTTATACTTTTTTCAAAGTGGACTGTCAAGAAAAAAATTTTTTTCTCTAAAACTGACTGACCAATAATTGTGTACTAAAGTTCAACTGAGTTACTGAGTTTTACTGTGGCATTCAATTGGTTCTGTTGGACTATCTGAATACCCTCTCAGTATAGCTGTAATGGTTGTATGAGTGCAACGGCAATGATTTATTTATTGTATAGATTTAAATACTTGTGTATTTAGGCACTTCTTTTATATGATGGCCTTCGACAATCAAGCTCTTCTAACTTTGCTTGATTATGAAGTAGTTGTGTCGAAACATATCTAATTATTTCTTTACTGTGAGGAAGTTTGTCAATTATGATTTTTTTGACTTGCTAATTTTGTCTATTTAAATTGAATTTTAGTAAGTATATTAATCGTATTTTGTTACCTTATATTACTTTAAAAATTGACTTAGACCATTTATGTTGGTAGTCAATCCAGCATTATCCAGAGCTACAAGACAGACTTTCGGCTTGTCTACAATAAATTGTAGCATACGATCTTTTCAGAAAGCAAAGCCACATTTTTGTGATTTTTATAATACAATTTATACGAAAAAGCGACAGGTCAGCGCGACATCTCTTTCTGGAAATAGTGTATCTGAGAAATGTTAGCAATTACAAAGCTACATGCAGTCAAGTGTTTACCCTGTGTGTCGCCAATTGCATTTAGCTTGGCTAACGATTCGCTGTCTTTTATCTCTTTCGTTCAATGGATCATTTGCTTGACTGCATACAGACACGGAGATGTGGCCCATTGCTGATCTTTCTTTCAGCCTGTTGCACATTGTTTCTGAAAGTATAATTCGATTAGCGTCGTCTTTTGCGGTTGGAGATTTCCTGACATAGCCAACAATAGTGTAACCCTCATCTTTCAAATTTTGAAAAGTTTTTGATACACGTCAATTAACAAGGCACTTTTAATGGCCCTTACCAATAAACTACTTCTTCAACACAAATAAAGTTCTTATAGTCAATCTCTCACCATCATTTGTCTGTCTCCTTTTTGGGGCCACTTTCAGAAAATCTAATTTCTTGTGTGAGCACCACTTGACGAATGGAAGGATAGTTTTTCATCAAAGTAAGTCGAATATTTCCACACAGTAGTCAAGATTTGTTTTTGTGATATTTGTTGATATTCGTACATTTCTTTATTGTTAGGATCAAGGGGGAGATATACCATATTGAGGAACTGAACAACTTGTGCGGAAGTTGCTTAAAGAAAATGTTTGTTGTATTCTGCTTCGTTACTGTAAAAAAGCTATTAAGTCGACAACTTGCGAATTAGATTCTTTATTAAGAAGAGCTGAATGTTATCAAATTAAGTCTGTGTGAGAGCTTTATAGGGAATACTAGTGTTGTTAGTATGATAAATGTGATCAATGTGATTATTTATCAATACTATACCAATAGTTACTATTGTTGTTATTATTACAAGTCATTCTTGTTAGATGCGATAGAGAAATGTAAAGTAGAATACATGCTCTACTATAAGACTATACTCAAGTTATTATAATGATTCATATCAGACACGTCAGATTGGTTTGGTAATGTTGGCGGCTTTGAACGCGAAAGAATAGACAATAGTGTTTACACTTTTTAACATCTTTGAGCAATAATGATAATTAGCTTAATTGCACGTCTATTTATAATCGTCTAGGAAATATGGAACGGATCTCTAGTTGGATTGTAGAGTTAGGATTGAAAAGTCTGATAAAGACACACATCCCACGCAATCAATGAACGATGAATTGAAAAATATTAGAAAAATGAAGCAAAGACTAAGAATAAAGGTTGCCGGCGCTTCTTAGCATGGGCGCATATATATCTACACTGAATAAAAGATTGCTTGATAAAAGCAATGTATTTAAAGGTGTTTAGAATCATGTTGTTTTTGTCTAACAACATGCTGTATGTGTTCTTCACAAATCGATTGAGACGTACTTTTCGAACCCTTGATTCACTTGAATATCTAAAGTAGCCCGCTTCAGGGCAATCGATGGCTTCTCGCCAGCATATTCTAAAAGAACGCCGTTGTATGCTCATTGAGGATCCTTTTCACGTTGTACCACCTATTTCTGCACTGAGTAAATATGAACTTCAAATTGTTTTGCTGCTCAAAGCCTCTTCAAGCATTATTTGAAAAAATATTTGTACAGTGTATCCACACATGAATCTTGCTTCTCTTATGCAAATGTCTATATTCCTTTAGCTTGAGAATATGTGTAATAACAGACTCCGATTTGCCCTGGCAAGGGTATGCCGCCCAAATATTCTGTATGAGAGCTAATGGTCTAATGAGCGTTCACTTCTTTAGCAGCAACATAGTTTATAGGTTCAAGGCAGTCACAATTTATCTACATTATGACCCATGTTTGTATAAAAACAGATTGTCCTCATTCACATTGTGAAATGGGTAGAGTTTTAAAAATAATCAAAAAGTTTCAGAAAGCTGAGGTATAGGCTTGCCAAACCCATTTGTACGACGGTAATTCTATAGATACGACATCTGACTTGTCATCAGCCGCAAAGAAAATAACACAAACACGGCTTTTTTTTTATATTTGTAACTTTCAAATTCACTGGATGCGACTTTGATTTCGGGAATAGTGCAAAAAAAAACGCTTTAACCAAAAAAAGTTTCTGCTTTGTCGATCATTTCAAATGCTGGACATTTAAACGCCGATATGAACATTCCCACAAAAAAGGACATGAATTGTTCGGCACAAACTACCAAAAAAGGATCATTCCGTCGCCAAGGTGTGGCAAAGGATGAGACCAATTATAGAAAATCATTTTTATTTTTTTTTATAGTTTATTCAATTGCTCTGCAATAGCTTCTTTATCGAATCCTGCTTCAATTAAGTGTTTGACAAGATCGGCCTTTGCTTTCACTCGTTTTGTAATTTCTCGTTCTAGCAGCAGTTGATCTCTTTCTAGTCTTTTTTCTCTCAAGAATTGAAGCATTTCTTGCGATCTTTTCATTCTGCCTGCCTCTTTTTCACGTGTCACTTGGATGAGTGATTCGGCAAGGACATCTCTTGAAGGTTGAGGCGTTAATGGTGCATTATTATAATGATGTGGTTGAGGATCAAAGTAATGGTTGGCGGGTGGTAAAACACGTGGCAGAGGGCGGATCACTAGAGGTGGTGAGTTTGTAGATTTATAATTATTAGAAGTAAAAGGGGGAGTTGTAAGATTATTATTATTAGTAGGATGACTGATAGCAGGTAATGATTGTGTAGAGTGAGTTGGACTGTTGGCAAGAGATGTATTATTTGAGGTTTCCACATGGCTGTCACTCAATCGGCGTCTTTTCTTCAAGGTAGCATCATCTAATTTAAAAAGATCTTCTTCATCTTCTTCTGTTTGTTGTTGTTGTTGTTGTTGTTGTTTTTCTGTGTGTGTGATACTACTTATTGACATGGGCCATGCAGAGGTTCGATTACTACTGAATACTTCATGTAACGCATCCCAATAAGGAAATCTTTTCAACAGCTCCTCTAGTAAAAAAAATTAATCTGGGTCCCTTTTTCAAAAAAAAAAAAGAAAGAAAAACTCTTACCATGGACGGCTTCTTCTGTTGCTCCACTTTCAAGTAATTTTTTACCATCGACTTCTTTCCATTCGCGAGCCAACCGGTAATTTGCTTGTAAAGTTGATATTTTTGAAGCCACATCCTTGGCTAAACGGTGATAGATACCCACTTCTCTCATTTCGTCAATAATGCTTTCTAATAATGACTTTTTGGGTATTCTTTCGCAGTCATCTCCTTTCCATTTGGCGTAATTTGACTTTTTTGATAACCAGTTGACCAACACATCCATAGATGAAGGACCACCATTCACTCCATCCTTTAACCAGCTCTTATATGGCTTCTTTCCTTTAGTTGATGGTGGTGTAGGCGTTGTAAAAGGTGCCATCATTAACATTATTTTGTATTTCCTGAAAAAGAGGGAAGAAAAGAAAAGGAAACGAAAAAAAAGGCGACAAGAAGAGAAAAAGGAACTCTTTGGAAATATTTTTCAACACCAATCAATACTCGTCGATCCTATTTCTGTTCATTTACTATTTCTGTACTTTCCCCCCTTCCGTCCCACTCCTCTCTCGCTTAATTTAGCAGTGATCGGCCCTTTCCCTTTTTTCTACTATGCCACTGATTGGTTCCTTTTTATACATTTCTCTCTCGTCTGCTGGAAATGAACAAAAAAGTAATAAATAACCTTGTGTAACAGAAGTCACTGAAGGTCCAGAATTTGTGAATACTTTTTATTTTTTTTAATTCTGAAACTTATCGTCTTGAGCCTTTGTTATGCATCCTTGTAGTTTTTCTTATTTATGCGATCAGTATAGTCGTCATTTCATTGGCAAAGTTCGAAAACATGGTAATTTTTATTAAAACTATATCACACAACGGCATCTTTATTTTTGTCATGGTAACTTGCCCTCCTCTTTTTTTTTTTTTCGCGGTCATAGCAACCATAACAATAATGAACACTTATGAAAAACATCATGTCACATGTAACTTGCTTTATTGTGCGTAAACGAAACTTTATATTTTTTTATCTAACCAGCTTTGTCTTTTTTGAGAGAAAGATGGTCAAAGAGAACAGAGAGAGAAGGAGGTTAATTAATCTTTTTATAATTATTTCCCTACGCGCCTTTTATCACTGAAACTGGTTCCACCTGTTTTGGTTATTTTTCATTTTTTTTTTTTATTTTACGCAGCAAAAAAGAAAGAGAGAGAAAGAAAGGGAAAGAAAAAAATTCAACTACCGCCATTTAAGCTCTCACTTATGTATCCTTTTAGTGCTTTTTTTTAGATTTATATTTTACGTATTGTTGTCTGTCTCTCTCTCTTTTCTTTCTTTTTTCTTTTACATTTATTTATTCATTTTAATCATTAATACATCATCATGCCATCAACCACTTACAACAGAACATCATCATCAGCATCAGAAAGTGAATTGATTCACAAACAGGATGCATTACCTTTATTCTCAAAGGATAAACAAACATTTATCTTACCTCCACCCTCTTCTTTACCTGGCTATCATCTCCCATTGCCACCTTTACTTAAGCAACAACAACAACAACATTATGATGATGTATCTACAGCAGCAGCAACGTTAGCATCATTTGCTTATGAAGACGAAATGTGCTCTGAAAGCCAAGTGATTGAGGTAAACAAAGAAAAAAAAAAAAAAAAAGAAAAATTTTTTTGACATTTTTTTTTTTGTGTCATCAAAAAATATAGGCTGCGAAAATCCTAATGAGTATTTCGAGATGTGTTGTATAATATAATTTATTTATTGTAATGTGTGCATATATAAAAGAATTGGGAAAATTTCAATCTGGATCCAAGTTGTTTCCTAAATATTGTAAAAAATAAATATGACATTTATCTTCCTTTTCCCTTTGTTTTACTCTATATAACAAAATGCATTTTAAAACTCCATGGCTACTTGCTCTTGCTGTGGCCGCCATGCCCATAGTCTCTGCAGATGATCCACTCCCTTGGAGTCCACTGCAATATCCTCCGCTGCCACCTATGAGTGGTCCTTATGTGGCACCATCAACGCCAAAATACAATTATGCGGAAGTACTTCACAAGAGTTATCTCTTTTATCATGCTCAAAAGTCCGGTAATTTGCCCTATCAGCGATTAGCCTGGCGATCCGATTCCTGCAAAATCTGCGTCGGTGAATATGGTGAAGATCTTTCTCGTGCTTGGTATGAAGCAGCAAATACTATGAAATGGGGATTGCCTCTCGGTTGGGCTACAACTCAACTCGCTTTCAATGTCATGATTTTTGAAGATGCCATGAATTCTGTAGACGAGCTCGCCGAAGGACTGGAATTACTTAAATGGGGAGCAGGTAAAGTATATACATATGAATCATAGGAGATTTTTTTTTCGATCCACTTATACCGGAACTTTTTTTTAATAGATTATCTTGTGAATGCGCATTATAATGATACGCACATTGTCGGACAATTGGGTATCTCTGCTCTAGGCCCTATTTCCAAAGTCATCGGATGGGATGTCGACTTCAACTACTGGGGACCACCTGAAGAATATGAGGAGTGGGTACCTACAGGTCTGCCTCATAAAGCAACCTATATCACGCCCGATAATCCATCCTCTGAAATCGCCGGTGAATACAGTGCTGCCCTTGCCGCTGTATCCGTTGCCTGGCAAAAGCACAATGCTACCTATGCTGACAATCTCATTGACCACGCTAAACGACTATACAAGTTTGCTTCCGAGAATCTCGGTAGTTATGTTACCTCCAAACAAAATCCTCTACAATGGGCTACCTTCTGGTACCCATCTACCGGATACGTGGACGAATTGGCATGGAGTGCAGCTTGGATCTACGCAGCCACCAAGGACGAATTTTACTTGAACGAGGCTAAAAAGTGGTATCTGAACGTGACTGACTCTTGGGCAGAGTACTCCTGGGACGAAAAAGGTGGTGGACTTCACGTGCTGTTGTATGCCATCACGAAGGACGGCATGTTTTATGATAATGCTATCGAATACTTTTCTCAGTTCTTGCCTGGACCAAAGCAGATTGTCAAGTTTACCCCTCGTGGACTGGCCTACATCGATCACTGGGGCTCAGTCGGGTACTCTGGTAATGTTGCCTTCCTGATGATGGCCTTTGCTAAATTGATCGGTTATGATAAACCTCAAGCCCAGGATTTGACCAACTTTGCCATTCAACAGATCAACTATGCCCTAGGTGACTATGGATACAGCTGGGTTGTCGGCTTTGGTGATAACTATCCGGCAAAACCATATCATAAGGCGTCTTATAATGCCTACATTGACTATCCTCTTCGTGGTGCTACTCAGGACGAGGTTGAGAGGGATTTCACTGAGAGCAAAACCAATCAACGTTTCATCCTCTATGGTGCTGTCGAAGGAGGCCCCAATATTGATGATTCTTGGTATGATGATCGATCAAACTATGAGTACTCTGAAGTCACTCAGGACTACAACGCAGCCTGGACTGGTGCCATCGCAGGTCTCATAGACTATTACGGAGCAACCAACTTTGAACCTTACACTGATTGTGGTCTTGACTTGGGCTGGGACCATCCAAATGCGTCAAAGCCTCCTGCTTGGCCCGCTGATGATTGTTACCATACATGTAACAAAGGATGTCCTCGTGGCGAGATGAAATCTTCTTACTCTTGGAAGCTACTTACGACGCCTCCTGAGGAACTGCACCAGTCTTTGGAAGTACTTTATCCGGGCCAGGGAACTCACAAGGCTGTTGCTCTTGGTGTCATAATACAGAATGCTAAACTTGCAGAATCTGTAGACAAGAAAGGGGATGTTGAACTAGAACGCATCGAATCATCTGCTCTTCCTTCTCCTACCCCTCTTTACGCAACCTTTGCTGCCATCACAATTGCATTATATTTTGTATGTGCATTCTAGTACGCTCGCTTTCCTCTCTCTCTCTCTTCTATAGACCAAATAGACAAAAACAAAAAATAAAGACCCCATTTTCTTCCTTTTACTTCAAATACATGCATTTATTAAACAAGAAACTTAAAGCTTTGCCTTTTCTGAAGCAAGGCGGTCTGATTTTTCCTTTTGAACCTTTATCTTGGCAGCAACTTCTTCGGCACGACGTAATTCGATCTTTCCAATTTGAGCACGATGTACTTCATCAGGACCATCAGCATAACGCAAGGTACGCGCAGAAGCGTAAAAATGAGCGAGAGGTGTATCTTGAGAGATACCAGCAGCACCATGAGCCTGCATGGCACGGTCCAGGACGTTCAAGGTCATGGTGGGGACGACAATCTTGGCCATACCGATTTCCTTCATAGCACCCTTCGCCTTGGCTTCATCAATCTTACGAGCAGCACTGAGCACTAAATAACGAGCCTGATCGATTTCGATACGAGAGGTAGCGATATCAGCAACAATCGTGCCGTGTTCGGCAAGTACCTTGCCAAACGTGCGACGGGTCGTGTCTGTCACACGGTTCAGCATGAGGTCAAGAGCGCGTTCAGCCATACCAATACAACGCATACAATGATGGATACGGCCAGGACCTAAACGACCTTGAATCACTTCAAATCCACGACCTTCACCCAAGATAATGTTTTCTACAGGTACACGAACATCCTTAAACACGATCTCACAGTGACCTTCGGGAGCATCGTCAAAGCCAAAGACCTTCATAGGACGCACGACGGTGATACCAGGTGTGTCGGCAGGCACAATGACTAAACTCTGTTGACGATGTTTGTGTTTGTTGTCAGGATCTGTCTTGCCCATGACCAAGTAAACAGCGCATCGAGGATCACCTGCACCTGAGATCCACCATTTCAAACCGTTGATCACGTATTCGTTACCTTCACGACGAATGTTTGTTTCAATGTTGGTTGCATCTGAAGAAGCCACACGAGGTTCAGTCATGGCAAAGGCGGATCGAATCTTGCCTTGCAAAAGAGGCTCGAGCCATTTCTTTTTTTGTGCGGGTGTGCCATATTTAGCAAAAACCTCTATTAAAAAAAAGTTGCATGAATATCTCGTTCTTTTTTTTTTTTTTTTTCTTTTTTACCCATATTGCCTGTATCAGGAGCAGAACAGTTCATAGCTTCAGGCGCAATTTTGGGAGAACGACCGGTGAGTTCAGCAATCAAGGCGTATTCGACATTGGTCAAGCCAGCACCTTCAGGATAATCTCGACCCAAGAACAGGTTCCAAAGTCCAAGTGATTTGGCCTTGGCTTTTAATTCTTCAATCACAGGTGGAACTATCTTCCATCGATTTTCATTTTGTCCCATTTGAAGTTCATATGTCTTTTCAGCAGGAATACAATCATTCTACACACATATAACTCAATACGCTTTAACTCTTATATTCTCTATTTGTTTTACCTCTACAAAGTCTTTTGCTTTTGCATAAAGATCTTTAAATTTAGGTGAAAGGGTATTAAGGTCAATTAAATTTTGAGTTGCCATGTTTGAAAAGAAAGAAGTAAAGAAAGAAAGAAAAAAAAAGGTACGATTTATAATTAAACATTATAAATATATTTAAAGCCTGGGTAAATATGATTACTCTATCTGAATTTTTCTCTTCCCGCGAATAGTTTAAATGTGGTAACTCCCCCCCAATTTTTTGCATGACTCAGCATTTATTCAATGGGATTTTTTGTTATTGTAATTGTACATAGTTTGCAGGGAACTAGAAAAGATCATTTACTATTATAAACGTAAATAGGATGCATTGTACTTACCACGCCTTGTCTATTGCCTATCTTTCCTGTCCACCAATCATCTTGACTGTCACTCTTTTGAATGATCGTAATGATCTCACCCTCTTGGAAACTCAAGTCACCGTCTTGCTGTCCTTCGAATGCATAAATGGCTCTGGCCGTAGGTTGGCTTGGAACCACGGGCTTTCTACTAGGAGGTGGAGGTGGAGGCGCTCGTTTAACATCCATTCCATAATTATTATTGTTATAATTGTTTGGTGAATAGTTATTGTAAGATGGGTTATAGCTAGGAGGCTGTTGCATAGGAGATGGTGATTGGTAAGATGGAGGCATGGGCGCACCGTATCCGACGGGTTGTTGCTGCCGAAGAGGTGGGGGAGATCTGAGTGTGCCTGGTGCTGATATATTTGTACTTTTGAATGTTTGGTTTCGGCTCAGCGTTCCGTTATTTTCTGCCAAACTTCGTGCATAAGTCTGAGTTCCTAATGTGTGGAACTTGGCGTTCAAGGCTCTATAAAGCGCGTCTGCCTCTGGAGGAGGTGGAACCGTACCGTTCAACAATTCTTTTGCCGTCACTCGTCTACCATAAAATTTCTCATTTGCATCCGAACGTGTCACGACAACTGATCCTTCAAGTGAGACACCTGCAAATAATCCTCGCGTCTTACTATAAGAGTAAATCGCTGCAATATGCTTCAAACTAGCTGATCCAGAAGCTTCTGCGTTTCGACCGACAGGACCAGCAGCCACTATATATGTGTTTGAAATTACTTCCAAATAAGGGAGGGGGTTTTACAACAAACCTGATACATTGCCGCCCAAAGTGACATTACCAACTTGACTAAAGGTTTTAACTGCTTCCTTTGTATTCAAGACCAATACGAAATCTGTTAACTCTGCACCGATCTGTCCACCTGCGCCTATACCGCCTGTTCCAATTGCTGAAGGAGCTGACCATCCTATTTTTATACAAGTTACACATGTCTTTCTATATCATTGCTCGTGTTATTCTCTCTCTCTCTGTTTGTTATATTTACCACCATCTGGCAGCCTATTGTATGATGACAAGTGTAAGTCACCGTTAGCATCACGAGCTCATTGTTTTTTTTTGTTTTTTTTTTACCTAGCAACCACGAGACCGCTGCCTGCTCGTCCAGAAAATAAGAATCCAGCCTTAAGTACTGTATAGATGGCTAATCCTTGTGCTTTTTCCAAAATACTAGCCGGGATTATCTTGTCTAATCCTTCACCGGGGTCTATATTGATGTATAAGAAGGGTGCTTTCTTTCCTTATTTTCTTTTTCTTACCGATGAAGCTATTCAATATCTTGGCAGCTTTCTTACATTCACCTATTACAGTATATGATGTACACGTCAAACTTGTAAGGGATTATTTATGTTTAAAGTGGTACCTTCCAAGTTAGTGGGTATAGGGGAATTGATAGAAGAGGTAACACTTGAAGCAAAGTTCTTTGTTTTTTTCATAATAAAGAAAAAAAGAGAAAAAAAGAAGAAAAGAAAAAGCTTAAAATGAAATTCGGGAAATGATGACATAAAATCACCCTTTCTTTGTGCGGCATGTTACATTTTTTTTTTCGTTGCCAAGCGTTTCTCTCTTTTCTAAGAGAATGGTGTCATAGGTTATCGTAGGGCTGATTCTACACATAATGCAAATAATTGAGTCAGGTCTTTTTTTAGTAGCAATCAATTCTTCATTGTTTACGTTCAGTTGTCCTTCATAATAACTTGTGATAAAAATTTGAAAGATGATGGAAATGAGGAGAAATAAGGTGGACATATGTCGAGTTTTCGCTACTATATGCTAGCTACTAGTGGGTTTTTTAAGGCGATATGTCAAAACACGCTAAACTTCTTCCTATCCACAAAAGACTCACTTTATTCTTGTACCGTTGAACTCTGTCTATTTTAAACTCGGAACAAAGCATTTACAGTAGTGCAGTCGTATTGCACACAAGAATTTTAGGGAAACGCACAAAGACAGTGTCAGCTCGTGAATAAAACTATCAATAATACTTTTTTTTTAAATAAAAAAAAGAGACAGTACATTGTAATGGACAATATTTTACGATAAGGAACTACCACTCTACACTGGGCGTTTTTATTGCATTTATAAATGCTGCAAGTCACAACGATAAAAAGTGTATATGTGGGCGTAGCGATCGATCTTTTTTACGTCATTTTCCCGCGAATTTTTCTTTTTTTATTTTCTTTCTCGCCTTTTAGAAGAAAAAAGCCCTTGTATATTATTGTATAGTCACCGATTAGCTCTACCTTTGCTTTTTATGTGTATGCATACCTCTTGTTAATTTATATTTATATTTGTTTATACCTCCCTGTCACTCTTGCCCTTATTATTCTCGAGATGAACGCAAACGCACCTAGCTTTGTTCCTTCAAATAGTCACAGAAACAACAACAACAACAACAACAACAACAATAGCAGTAATCATAACGGTAGCAGAAGGAAGCGTCATCGTAAATAAGGAAAAACCTTATCCAATATGTATATAATTGACCTTTTATATTCCATTAGAAAAAAGAAACAGATCTACCAACAACAATAACAATAATGACATTGAAGAGCAGCTAGACCTTGTTCAAATAGCTCAACAGACAGGTGGCACTACAGATAGAAAAGGAAGAGTCTCATTAAACCACTTGCTCAACTTTTCATTCCCTCAAAGACAACGACCTCAACCTATCATCCGACGACAAAAGATTACAAGTTACCAGCCCTATAATAAAGAGAGATTTGTGAATGCAAAGTAATAACGGCTTGCATATAAACAAAAAAAGAGGGAAAAACTTATATTCTAAAAATTATTGATAGCTTTCGATTTATGCTTAATCCTTTTGGAGACTACAATTATCAACTGGCAGACCCTGACATCAACTTTGATTGGGATGCGGTCGAGCAAGTGGTAAATATTGACCCTACGGCCTTGATTTCAGGTTTAACCCTGTTTTCTAGATCATTTCTTCGAACGAGGTTCAAGCCTGTCCTATCTGCTTATCAATGCCTACTGCGGCTCGTGTTACAAGATGCGGACATGTATTCTGTTTACCTTGTGTCTTACACTATCTCGAACTACGCGAAAACCCAAAGAGGCTGTGGCGAAAATGTCCTATCTGTTGGGATTCTATCTATGAGACAGATATTAAGGCAGTCAAGATTATCGAAAGCCGACCTATCAAAGAAGGCGATATCATCACGCTGAGTCTCATACAGCGACCGAACCATTCGACCTTGGCTTTTCCAATTTCTGATACTTGGCCATTACCAGAAAATGTCATTTCCAATTACATAAAGCCAGATGAACCACTTATCCCTTGGAATAGTACGCCATCTGCTGCACTGTTTGCTCGATTCATGCTAGCAAGTCCAGATTATCTTGTTGCCGAGTATGAAAGAGATAGTAGAGAGCTGGATGATGCCATGTCAGATGCTATCGGCTGGGGATCAGTCGATGAAGTGCCATTCATTGAAAAAAGTAAAAAGATGGTACACGATCACATCAAGCGAATTCGTCATCAGAAGACAAAGGAATTGGATCTGGTACAAAGTACATTGGATATGATGTATGAAGCAGTCGCAAAATACCACAAGAAACACGCCAAGGCAGCTGAAGGCATAGAAAGCCATTCATCACCTGAAGAAGAAAACTCAATTCCTGAAGCTTACAGGCAACACCATTCACAACAAGGTGAAAAGCCATTGGCCAAAGTGCAGAACAGCACAGCCAATGACTATTACTTTTATCAAGCCAAAGACGGTCAACATGTTTATTTGCATCCGTTAGACATTCGAATTTTAAAGCACGAATTTGGAGATTATCATCAATTTCCTCATGAATTAGAGGTGCAAATAACCAACGTACAAGAATCTACCTTGGACGAAGATTTGCGCAAAAAGTGTAAATATTTGAGTCATTTACCTTTGGGTTGCGATGTGACCTTTTTGGAAATTAACATCAAGGACATTGTCTCTGAAGATACTTTCCAAGTATTCAACAGTAAGTTCATGCTATTTTTTAAGAGGTCCACAAATGTAACTTTTTTTTTTTGTAGATGAATTAAATGCTCGTTTCAGAAGGAGAAAGGAAAAGGAGCAACGAGAGGATAAGGAAAGAGAGTATGCAGAAAATAAATCAAGACTGCAGGCAGTAAAGGAACAGGAAGATGAACGTAGAAGGATGGAGAGCGACCCTTTCTTTTCAATGTACAGACAACCTGACGATGAAGAAGAGCAGCTTGCCCAAGCCATGTCTGAATCTTTGGCAATAGCTGGCCATCACCATGACGACGAGGACGATGGTCCACGTACAGTGTGGGGGACACGTATGGTAGCCAATCCAGAAGAGGAACACTATATGGACCATCACGATTGGGCTGATCATATTGTCATCACCAAGAGTAAGCGAAAAGGGCGCTCAAAAAAGCGATAAAGATAAAAATAAATGGTAGTCGCTTGTTGAATTGTCGCATGAAATTAAATCCCATAAGCCACTTGTGCCGTAGCGTAGTTTTCACAGCTTTCTTTTTTCTTTTATATATTTCTCCCATTGATCAATCTGCCATCATGCCAAAAAACAACTCTAAAGATGACAATGAAAATCACTCATCAGTAGCAACAACGGCAGAATCTTTAGTGATCGAACAAGATTTTGTGTCTTTTAAGAGACAACTTGCCGATTGTAATTTATAGATTGATTAAATTATATATTAGACTAACCTCTCTCTTTTTTTTTATTTTTTTTATAAAGTGCTCGTTTGTGGTATCTGCTTAGATACCATCAAAGACCCACACAGTCTTGATTGTGGTAAGTTGAATAAAGACACAGAAAGAAAAAAAATTAACACGCGTGTGTCACTAAATAATAGGGCACTCATTCTGTGGTGAATGTCTGTTGAGTTGGTTTGAACAAAACAAAATCTGTCCTAGCTGCAATACTCCTGCCCCTAGACAACCAGCAGCTAACCACACAATACATAACATTGGTACAAATAATGATATTCTATGTTGCAAAAAAAAAAAAAATGCTAAAGCGATCGTGTTTTAGTGAGTCTTATCAAAGATCAGCACAATGTTAAACGATTAGCAAAAGATGCCTGGAAATCCATATATGCATCCAGGCCTTTACATGAATTCGTCTTTGACTCTGATGATGACGTGTAAGTTTAAACATGATTTTGTACGAAAGAAAATTAATAACATGTAAACAATAGTGCTCGTTGTGCAACCTGCCACTGGGAGCTGAATGCCAATTTGACTTGTGACAGATGCGAGCTTAGGTACTGGAGAGGCCCAGATGGTGTCGATTACCATCCAGAAGAAGATAGTCAAGAAGAAGAAGAAGAAGAAGGTGATCATGAGGAAGATCAAGACCTGTCTGATTTTGTTGTGTCAGACGATCAGTCAATTGAATTTGAAACTGATAATGATAATGGAAGTTACTCTGGAGACTCTTTAGTTTCAAATGAACCACCACTCTACTATTCAAATCCAGTGTTTATAGATGATGAAGCATCAGAAGATCAATCAGATAGCGAAGAAGAAGAGGAGGAGGCGCCTCGTTATTTCAATGCTGGAGGTATGAATAGTATGATCGTCATCAAAAGCATGTACACTAATACGTTTTAAAGCGAGATCCCGTTTAAATAAACGTGTGGTTATTAGCGACAGTTCTGACGAAGAAGAGGAGAGAGACAATTCGGACTCCAATGACAGCTCTGATGATGAAGAAAGGGAGGACAGGAACAGGTCAGGTACAAGTGACAATTCTGCAGAAGGACAAGAAGAAAGAGATAGTTTGGTCACCAGTGATAGCTCCAGTGATGAAGGAACGATGAACAGAGACCATTCGGTCATACTTTTGAGTGATGACCAACAAAGTGATACAGATGAAACAAGTAGCAGCACATACCCCGATTATGTTGAAATGGCAAGATCAGACGACGATGATACATATCATACAGCTTATATCAATCACACTAATAATGGAAGTAGCAGCAGAAATACAAATAGCAGCAGTAACAGTAGTAGTAGTAGAAGTAGTAGTGATAGTAGCAGTACTGAGGACGATGATGATGAACCAGACTATAACTTTTCTACGCCACCATCACAATCAACATCACCACCTCCAAGAAGCATCTCTAATAATAACCATAGTATAGATAACAACAGCATCAGTACAAACACTCATACATCCAGTACAGCCAACAATAACTCAAAGAAAAGAAAGAAAGAAAATACCAAGCATAAACAAAACAAGAAGCACCGCAGATAGACCCATAATACTAATTTGTATACAACACAGACAAAAACAATAACATTTGATGTATAAAGCGAAATCCATTGATTTGTAAAAATAAAATCAAAACTTATTTATTATCGATATGACTTTGCTATATTTACTTTCTTTGCTTTTGAGCAAGGAAATCAGAGAATTCTTGGTAAGGACCTCTTTGGAATTCAGTTTCTTCCCAAAGATCAGGAGTCAAGAAACCATAGGTGTTACCAATAGCAGCGAAAGTAGCCTTGACAAAGTTACCAAGGGTACGAGTGGAACCACGAGAGGTAGTATAACAATCGGTAATACCGGCCAATTGGAGGACACGCTTAGCGGTGGGAGAGGCGACAATACCGGTACCTCTGGGAGCAGGAACCAAACGAGCCATGACGGAACCACAGCGACCAGAGACCTTACAAGGGACAGTGTGAGGTTCACCAAGGCTGGAGCCCCAGTAACCACGACGAACAGGGATGATAGCAAGCTTGGCAAGAATGATACCACCACGGATAGCAGTAGCAACTTCCTTGGCACACTTGACACCCAAACCAACATGACCGTTTTCATCACCAATGACAACAAAGGCCTTGAAACGAGTACGTTGACCAGCAGTGGTTTGCTTCTGAACAGGCATAATCTTCATGACTTGATCAGTGAGCTTGGGAAGGAAGTAATCGACAATTTGATATTCCTTGATAGGAAGAGAGAAAAGGTAGATTTCTTCAATAGACTTGATCTTGCCAGCCTTGACAAGACGACCAAGCTTGGTGACAGGAACCCATTCGTTCTTTTCTTCACCACGACGTCCGCGGCCAGCACGACCACCACGTCCACGTCCACGTCCAAAACCTCCGCGTCCTGTTGAATGAAATAAAAAGGAGTTGTTTAGTCGATTTCTACATGTCGAAATGACGCATCTTCCAATATTTACCACGATTACCGGCCGTAGCAGAATCAGCCATACTACAATAATTCGATCATATGCTTAGTTTCTTATATTTCATCCATCCATCCATCAAGCTGAACACTTACTTTATTATATATCAATAAAGGAAGAAAGAAAACACAATAGCCCCATCATTATCTCCTGCTTAATACACCTCATCTTCCGCTATCCTCACTTTTTCTATTTCTTTCTAGGCCGTACAATTATCATTCAAAGAATCGAGATAAATTACTAATAAGGAAATTAATAGGTATGTGCGGACCGGACCAGCGTTTATTTAAGTTGTATGGTGCTTCAATCTCCGTTTATTTATTGCATAAACGATGGCCCAGCGAAGGGCCTCAAAGGAAAGAACAAACAAGAAAATCCAAAATATAAACCAACCGATGACGGTTCCATTAACATTTAGTCTCTCAGGCTGACAAAAAGTGCCTTGGAAACTATACATTCCCTTGTAGTCGTCGTAGAACATACCAAAATAATCGCCCAAGGCGAGTAACGGTGTAAGCAGCTTATAGCTATAGGGTGCATCAACATATACACGAGGCCTTGTGCCGGCTGGATCAAACAGAAATGATGTCCGTCTATTTCTTATCTCATTCATGATGGCCGTACGTGTCATGTTGGGCGCTTGGATCGTCAGCCACGCTTGTGCACCGACCGAGGGGTGATGAAGATCCATGCCGACCATCTGAATGAGATTATGCTCAATAGCTGCTTGATAGCTAGCCATATCAAAGACATCTTGGTTTACAATTTCGAAGCCATCAACGCCCCAACCGATCAGTTGGTCGATGCTTGGGTGGTTGGGCAGTCTTGGTAGCTGGTATCCTGCCTCGGTTGTGTTGCTCCAAGGAATATGGTTGACGATGACAAGGCCACCCAGTGCATGAACCTTTTGGATGACTTGCTGCAGCTCTTGATCGGTTGGGTTAGGCCCTGTCACGGGTACTGTTTCGTTGATGTCGATAAAGTTCATATGGATCCGGCAGCAGCTAGAGTTATTTCAAAGCAGTTATGTCAAGCTCGTAGTGATTCAAATGTGTTCCTTCTTTACCTATACTCCATGCCTGGAATCACGACAATAGATTGATTGTATTCGGCCAAAGCTAGTTTCTCTGCTTCTATTCCGCCTTTGACTGTATTATGATCTCTAAATAAATAATAAAAAACCAAGTACACAAATATACACACATAGCTCTTACGTGACAATGACTGCATTATATCCATTAGCAAGGTGCCAATCGAGCAATTGACGGACGTTCATTTTTCCATCACTGTACTTTGTATGCGTATGACCGTCAAGAAGCACATTATATTGAAATGAACGATTGTAGGGCCGTAGTGTTTCACTTGGATCAATCTTCCAATCAAATTGAAGGTTGGAAAAATCCTCAGATGAAGGTAAACCATCTGTATATTTGAGACCGAGGCCAAGAGCGATCAGGACGCCAAGGACGACAATGAATGCGCATAGACGATAGATGAAGCCTGCTAAATAATCATGCTGAGCCCAAAATGCCCAATATCGGGACATCTTCTGTTGGTTGTCAGACTGTCGTAGAGGGGTATAATGTTGACTCATGTCTTTGGTTATTGATGTATCACTGTTTTCGGTATGGCTATCAGGTTGTCTATGAGTTTCCATTAAAATAAAGAGAGAGAGAGAGAGGCTTCGTCTTAAAAGAAGCTTCGGGATATTAATGGGGCTTGGAAATTAATTTATTTGTGTGTGCGCCAAGGGAAAAGAAAGAAAATAGACAGTACAAAAAGAGAAAGAAAGAGGGTTTCAATGAAGACTGCACAAAAATGAATAGGTCCATTGAATAAGATGTCCCATTGGACGTTTTTAAAGTCAGAGCAAAACACTATCCAACTTGAGTCATTATTTCCATCATCTCTTTTTTTTTCTCTCTTCTTTTTATTTTCATTGTGTAAATTATGCTTAGCCTTTGTCGCGCTGCTAGTCGTAAACCTTTTGTAAGCGCATTATCTGTTGCTCGCGCGCACTACTCGTCTCAATCACGCATTACGGTTGCTAACCCTGTCGTCGACTTGGACGGTGATGAAATGACTCGTATCATTTGGTCTGACATCAAGGAAAAGTTGATTTTCCCTTACTTGAAGTTGGATCTTAAGTACTACGATCTTGGTATGGAAAATCGTGATGCGGTAATACAAGCAATAAACAAAAGAAAAAAAACGAAGTGTGTATTTATTTGTGTATTTTAGACTGATGATCAGGTTACTGTTGAAGCAGCCGAAGCTATCAAGTTATATAACGTCGGTATTAAATGTGCCACAATCACACCTGATGAAGCTCGTGTCAAAGGTAATGTATATGCACAACAGAAAGAAAGGGAGAACTTATGGTATAATAGAGTTTAATTTGAAAAAGATGTGGAAATCGCCTAATGGTACCATCCGTAATATCTTGAACGGTACCGTTTTCCGTGAGCCGATCATCATGAACAACGTTCCTCGTATTGTCCCTGGTTGGACTGAACCCATTGTCATCGGACGTCACGCTTTTGGCGATCAGGTAATTCAAGAGAGAAAAGGGCCATTAAAAAAAAGATAAAAAGATCTAATCTCTTGTCTAAAGTACCGCTCTACGGATTTTGTGACAGATAAGCCGGGTAAATTCGAAATGACATTTACACCCGCTGATGGTTCTGAAGCGCAAAAGTGGACCATATTTGATTTCCCAGAGAAGGGTGGTGTAGGTATGGCCATGTACAATACCAATGACTCGATCAGAGGTTTTGCCCACAGCTGTTTCCAGATGGCTCTCAGCAAAAAGATGCCTCTGTACATGAGCACAAAGAACACAATTTTGAAGAAATACGATGGTCGATTCAAGGACATTTTTGAAGAGATCTATCAAAGCGAGTACCGCCAAGAATTTGAAAAGAATAACCTCTGGTACGAGCACCGTTTGATCGATGACATGGTCGCTCAAGCACTCAAGTCCAAGGGAGGATTTGTGTGGGCTTGTAAGAACTATGATGGTGATGTCCAGTCCGACATTCTCGCTCAAGGATACGGTTCTCTCGGCTTGATGACCTCCGTTCTGGTTACGCCTGATGGAAAGACAATGGAAGCTGAAGCTGCTCACGGTACGGTCACTCGCCACTATCGTGAATATCAAAAGGTAAACATATAGAGCGAACTTTGTAATTTGCTTAACCGGGTCATATGTTAGGGTAACCCTACTTCTACTAATCCCATTGCCTCTATCTTTGCCTGGACTCGCGGTTTAGGACATCGTGCAAACCTTGACAACAACAAAGAATTGACCAAGTTCACGTTAGATCTTGAACAAGCTTGTATTGATGCCGTTCAAAGAGATAATGTGATGACAAAAGATTTGGCCTTAGCCATTCACGGTAAAAAGTAAGTGTATAATAAACAATGCAAATATGAATTTATTAATATTGATATAAATATGATATATAGTCTCAAGACTGAACACTACGTGACAACGGCTGAGTTTATGAAGCATGTCAAAGATAATCTTGATAAGACACGTCAATAAATTATTAGGATGGCAAATGCTGTCTTTTTATACTATTATTTTCTCTCTCTGGTAACTCGGCAGACAGAGCAGTTCGTTTCTTTTGAGGAGTCAACACGTCGTCTTCTTGAATGATATCTGGAATAAGAAGAGAGCCGTCACTCGGATATTTGTACAACGAGAATTGAAGTTCTTCCGGGCCATCTTGAGGGGATGCAATGGTAGGACTGGTCACATGATGACAGCTTGAGTCGCACTAAAAATCAAGGAGGGATACAAATTTGAGTCAAAAATGTGGGTGAGCGGAAATGATTTTTTTTTACCTTATCTAATGCAGGAATATCCATATTCTCCAATAGCATCTGAATAAAGTCACACATATTCCTTTCAAACGGAACAAGTGGATAAAGTTTTTCCAATGCCATAAAGTGACTTTCGAGCGTATCTCCTTCCTTCACTTGAACGAATTCCTTTTCTCGTTGTCGTACTTGAAGTTTAAAGAGATACATGGTTCGTGTCTTTGGGAAAAGTAAGTGATGATCAGCCGCCTTGACTGTCCAAATGTTGTCGTCTTCATCTTCTTCTTCCTCTTCATCAAAACTGTCTTCTTCATCTTCGTCTTCAACATAACCATAAGAGAATATTTCATATATGGTCTCAAGTCCAACATGTCCATCGCACATGTAGCTCTGTATGGCTGCTTGAGTGAGTAGATCGAGAAAGAGATCGTACCAGCGAGGAGGCATACCACCGCCCATGACAGGTTGACCTGCAACCGTCAAAAGCTTAACATCCTTGTTCTGCTCAAGAACCGATCTGAGCATGTTGGCGCTTGTCTTTAGAAACGCAGGGATAGCTTCAGCTAGTCCTGGGCCTGTTGCTGGAGGGCAGCAATGGGGTTGTCTGTGTTGACGACAGAACAGGGGTTGGAATGGCTTCGAAAAGTGGATATTGTCTTTTATCTTTCGTCTGAATCGGTATGGATGAGTAATGGGCGCAGAAAATGTCACATGGAAAGGACGACCCATAGTTAAATTTGTGAGTTGGCACAGATTTAACCTTTGTTGAATAGTCGGGTCTTTTCGTTGCTTGTGGTTCGCGAGGATATCTAAAGACATACCAAATGTGTGAGCAAGCAAAATCAAAAAAGAAGAAATATGATATTACTATGGATTACTGTTTCTATAATATTTTTATTATCCATGTTGATATGCTTTTGTGATAATCGCGATTGTATAGAGTGATAGAATAAATAATCAAGGATCATATTATTGGTTGAATAGTGGGTATTAATTTTTTGAGTGCTCATGATAAGAATTACAAGGGGAAAGAAAGAGATAGAAAGAGATAGAAAGTAAGAGGAAAAAGAGAAAAGATAAAAGAGCCTAGGAAAATCAAGGGATAATCTTACTTACTTTCCCGATGTTTCCTAACTTGGCTTCCGTAAGCAAGTCACTTACTGATAACCCGATTACGGTTAATAGATCTAACAGCCGCTCTCCCTTTTTCACACTCACGCGATTTTAAGGATTAAAAAATCATTTTATTTTTTTTATTTACAGAAATTTTTCTTCTTGGTAGTCCATTTTGATAAGCGTTGATATAGTAACCAAGTGGTTGTGATGGAAACAAATGATTTAAATAGTAAAATAAAAATATTCACAGCTGAATGATTTCTTTGAACATAAAGTAATAAAGATGACCATACATCATCTTCTTCTTTGTTACTCTCTTCTTCATCTTCACTCTGTAGCAAAGGCGACACTGGGTATTCTGGTTGGTATTCAATTTCAATGATTTCTGGATTAAAAGAGACACCCACTTTAGTACTATGCGATGTGGATGTGGATGTGGATGATGATGAGATGCTACTGAAACTATTATTTCTTGTTGTTGTGAATGAAGATGAGTAATAATCGAATAATTCAAGCATGGTATCGTCGGAGCAAGTCGGTAATGTTGTAGGTTGCACAATCATGGTGCTATGTTTTTTCAAAACAGGCTTTATTCCTTGGAGATGGTCAGAAGCAGGTACAGAGTATGTTTGTGTTTCATTTGTATAAATAGGACCATATAACCCTAGAATTGATATTAACATTACACACATTCTTTCTTTTCCTTTTTTTCTTATTAATTCTTACATGTGATATCAGATTCCTTTTGCCTATGTTTATGAATATTAATAACAAATAATAAATAATAAATTAATTCCTTTTTACCAGCTCACTGAAGATGGATCAACTAACTTATTAGGTTGACTCAAATTGGATGTGCAATTCCTTGCCATTTCTCTCCAAAGTGCATTTTGTAATCGTTTGTGTTTATAATCTTCATGCTTATCGTGGTTTAATTTACAGATAATGGAATATTTACGAGTTTCTCGATAAGTTTGTATTAGATCATCTGTATTCCATTTATATGACAAGTAGTCTACACAGTATTCAGCTTTCATTTTATAAAAAAGGAAATAGGGAATTGGGGTTAAAAAAAAGAGATATGTTTGTACAGGAAAAAGAGAGAGAGAGAGAGAGAAAATAGTAAAATATGGTTTATATACGATCCGACAGTTAGAAGCACAGACCGCGTTACACACTGAGTGGCGTGGTTAAGATTTTAAATCAACATGAAGTAATTTTTCCCTTATCGCCCTTTTTCACTGGTGTGTGAATTGCATTACTTGTTTTGACATTTTATAGTGTAACTTTTTAATAAATAAGCATGTGATGAGCTTGTTATTATTTATAATTAAATATTCCCGACACTTCACATTAAGGTTTTGTTATATTTTGAAGTGGGGTTCAAAATGGGGTTTGGTTAGGAATGGGCGCCTTTTTTGAATTCACACACATCCAATCCTTTCCCTCCCCCCTTTAATATACACAAATGAGCTCAATGTAATAATAAAATATAAATCTGAAACACTTTACGACTTATCACGCATTTAGGCAGTTTGAATCTGTTCAAGAGGAATTAGATTATTGGAGAAATCATGCTGAAAACTTAGAAAGCACCTTACAGGAAACAAGAGCTGCCCTTGACGAATTTCAAGTGTCTTCTCGAGAATTGGAAGAAGAGCTCGAAAAGGAACTTCAAACAACAGAAAAGGCTTATAATGACTTGAAATCACGTTGCGAGCATTATAAAAGAGAAGCTGAAGATTGGAAGGTAAAAGTTGCTGTCCTATTTAAAAACCATCTAACAAAACTGTTTTAGGGCAAATACACAGAATCAAAGCATGAGCAAAATATTACGATGGTGCAGATGCAGCGAGAGATCGATATTCTCAGAGCAACAGAAGAGTCATTTAGAAAGAAAATATTGGAATTAGAACTGGATAATGATGACTTGGAAAGGACGGAAAGGTAAGTAGGATTGCTTGCTTATCTTCTCTCCATTCACTCTTATACACTCTAGGGCAGCAACATCTTCTCTAACAGATTTAGAGATGAAACTTAATAAAGCCATTGAAAGAAATGCTATACTCGAAAATGAAATCATTGCCAAAGATAATCTAACAGAACAAGCACAGCGACTCAGGGATGAACTGAACGGTAGAATCGATAATATACTTTTAGATAAACATGACGCCCTAATAATACTTGCTTAGAGGTCAACCAGGAGCTATCAGTCTCTCGTGCACAGGCAGCAAAGCAAAAAGAAATGATTACAGAGCTCGAGAATAAATTACAAGAGCTTGAAAAGAAGAATAGACAACAAGAGGCAATGAATCAACGATCGTCAACGCCTGACTTTGACCCTTATAATTTACGTCAAAGCAGGGTACCTCGAACATCTTCTGCATCTAATCCTGTCAAGATGGTTCAAGATATGGTTGGTCGCGTCAGGGTATGTTTTTGATTATATCAAACAAATGTATGGCTCACATTTTTTTTAGAGTTTGGAAGCGCGTCTGCAATCATGCCGCTCACTCGTCACACCTCTTCTCAATCCTCCACCCTCTTACAGCTCCTCCAACTACATCTCGCGTCCTTCTTCACCAACTCGATCTGTCAGTTCTATCAGTTTCGCTAATATCAAGGCAAGACGCCCCTCTGAATACATGAATAATCCATGATAAATAAAAACAAGTCACCCTTTGTACGCAATTCTCTTTCTTTCTCTTTCTTTCTTCACAGAACCTATGCCACCCGTCAATCGAGCACCACGTAATGAGTTAATCGAGTGGTACAGCTCCATTCCACCCATCACAAGAGCTCTCTTGACTCTGATGATTGCAACAACAACAGCATCAACTCTTGGTCTGATTCATCCGTCATCACTCATCCTTTACTGGCCTGGTGTGAAACAGAGATTACAAGTAATAAAAAGCTGTTATTATAAAAAAATGGGAAGTCTAATCATAGAAATAGCTTTGGCGTCTCATGAGTTGCTTTTTTGTAAATAGACTCGATTTAGGTTTTGCATTCAACGTGTTCTTCTTGTACCGAAATTCACTACAACTCGAGACTGAGGTATTTCGAAACCAGCCTGCAGACTACATTTTCTTTTACCTCGTTACCTCAGGTTTGCAGCTGGCTGCAGCTAGTTTTATCAATCTATATGTCTTGAGTGACGGTCTCCTGCTATCAGCAGCCTATCTCTGGTCTCAGCATTATCGTGACGTACCTGTGTCATTCATGTTTGGAATTCGATTCAAGGTAAAAAGATTGTCAATAGAAAAAAAAGAAGAAATGTTATTTATCAGTTCTCATTGAAGGCATATTATCTCCCTTGGGCTATGATTGCAAGTGATTTTATCATGTCAGGAGGCGAGATACCCAAGGCTTCGATCGTTGGTCTATTATCATCACATATTTATCATTATTTAACTACAATCTATCCAAGCCAAGGCGGACGACGTTATATTCAAACACCCGATTTCCTTCGCCGAATCTTCCCTTCTCCTAATCAACCAAGAAACAACCATACGAACGTGTTTGGTAGACATGCTTGGGGAAGAGGACGACGATTGGATAGCTAATAATAAATGACTATATCAGCATCTTTTTTTTATTCTGTCAAACCGAAAAGCGTGTGAAATCATTAACTAAATTAGTCTTCTTTGTATTTTGGGCGGGCAGAAAATAAAATTTCTCAACAATCAAATCTTTTACCCACTAAACAAGGTTATCTTCAAGTATAACACAATTTTAACTTAAAACTTGCATCAGTTTAGTTGAATTTAAGCGTGCTATTATTGTTCTCTGTTTGTTTGTTTGTCGCTCTTTATTGTCATACCTTCTCACACATGTAGTATAGTCTAGAACAGGTTTGATGATTTCCGAAACGCCCAAGCAAATCTTTTTTATATTTTTATTCTTTTCTCATCTTGATAACACTGAAACCTCTTTTATTAAGCAAACATAAATCAATTATATCTCATAGTAACGAAGGATGCTTCAGTGACCTTGCTGTATCTTGGCAGCCTTTCAATAGAGTAGATCGGTTTTATATGCAACAGTCGTACAAAACAAATGTTTACACATCCAAACCTTCTCCAAGTTTCATTCCCCTTTCCGAAGGGCCAAGGTACACAAAAATGCGGCTATCGATAAGAACAAAAAGCATGAATATACAGAAATAGATTTTTTGTGTGTCCAACAAATTGATTGACACAATTAAATCATAAAAGCCAAGGCTCGACCATTGAGAATGAATGAGGGAGTTGGTATTGCCACAACAGTGACCAAAAAGTGTGCAGTAACTTGAAGATTCCATTGGTGAGGGAATTTTTAGCTCATGATGAAAGCTTAAGAGAAAATAACGCTATTAGGTCTTATCGATGTTATGGAACACAATTATATAAAGCTGTAATTCACGCACGAGCGTAACGATGATGGAAACTGATGATAGCATGCAGTGTGTAAATAACTGCTATATCAAGCTATTGACATGCTCTTTTCAAAAATGATAAGACAAGGGTGCCTCAAGACAGGTATTGTGCGTATATTTGCAACACCATGGATATTATTTCGCCACACCTATTTTCTCAATAATCGGGCGTACTTGGATAATACTTGGTTAGATTTAGTAAAACCGGATAACTGGGTTCAGATTAAGTTAAGGCTTATTTTTGAAACACTTTTCTTTACGTGTAATGAAGAGATTATTATCATCAGGTCATTGATGCCCAAAATATCTCATGCTTTCATAATGCAACCGTAATACAGCTGCGGAACCTCTAATATCTGGGCTTGGGTTGTATTAAGTAAAAGCATTGTTAAAACTGAATTTTACAAGTTTCATAGATAAAAGAAAATCTACCAAATTGAGCAGAGACCACGCTATCTGACATTGAACTTGACGCATTTGGAGCGCTGGTAGATCTTTCTTGTAATAAGAGTATAGGCATCGATTATATTTATTAACAAGTAAAGATTTAGTCGGCCCATTTGGGCCGATATAAACTACATTTTTTTTTATTGGACAGATCTTCTCAGTTTACACGACGCGTGTGATTACTACAAAGCTTAAGACCTGTATTTTTATTTCGTTGAGTTTTTAAATTATTTTTTATAGTATTAAACAGATCTAAATCTCTCAAACAACATCAGTAAAATTTAAAGTTCAAACATGCCTCCTGTCAACAAAAAACTTGATGTCAACGTAAAAGTATCAGTTAGCAAGCGTTCCATCACTGATAATACAGTGAAAACTATATTACTCCGTGAGCACGACTAGAACGAAACTAAGTTGAGCTTCCAAGGAAAGACGATTGCACGATCTGAGGAAAATGGTAAGGTGATGTACAATGTACTGTTGGATGAAGCAAATGGCCACATCCTCAAGCTTAGTGAAGGCGCTATCAAGTACGTCGGCCCTCTTTCAACTCCTGTAGCTCAGGAGACTGTTGTCGACACCAATGTAGTCGAAGCTGAAGATTTGTTGGAAGATGCAGTGGATGAAGATGAGGAAGAGGAATCCATCGATTTGATTTCAAGTCGTGGGTGGACTGCTGATGAGGCCTATATGGACTCTCGTCTAAGTGGTTCAGCAGAAGGATTCACCTCCTTGAACTCTCGTTTAATGATGAACAATGGAAGATATGCCTCTCCATTGGATTATTTCTTGTTCTTCCTTCCTGTGGATCATTTTTATTCCATTATCCACAACACCAACCTTCATGCAAGAAGTCTCGGCCATTGGGAAGATATCACCTTTCATGAATATCTCATGTGGATCGCACTCTTGACGGTAATGACTGTGGTCAGACATGGTGATAGAAAGGCATATTGGAGACAAGGCCAGTCTTTTTTCTTGATGAATGTTGACTTTAGTCAATATATGTCTTTTAACAGATTCAATGACATTATGAAGATGCATGTTTTTGAACTTCCTTCAAAGCAGGTTCAGGAGCTTGACCCTCTTTATCAAATTAGGTCCACCACCCAAGCCTTCAATGATCACATGGCTAAATGTATAATACCAGGAAAATATCTTGTTATCGATGAATCCATGAATCAATGGTTAGGTACTGGTATGCCAAATTTGAAGAAGGTTCCTAGAAAGCCACATCCAATCGGACAAGAGTTTAAGACGTTGGCTGACAATCACTGCTACTGCATTTTATGTATCGATACAGTCAGTGATTCTTGCCCAAAAGAATATGACAAAGATTCTGGTATGAAGAAGCTGACGGCCACTGTAAAACGTTTGGTAAAACCTTGGTTTGGCTCTGGTCGAACAGTCATTGCTGACTCTTGGTTTGGTTCGCCCGACATGATCTCAATGCTGATGAATCATGGTCTTTATTCGATTATGCAGGTCACCAAGCGTCGTTACTGGCCTCAGGGCATGCCTGAAACAGACATTGTGGAAAGCGTAGA